CACTAAAGAGTGCCAACAAAGTTCATGTAGTTCTCAATGACCTCCCAAGTACTAAATTCAAGAGTCCCAAGCAGTTCTTTCAGCTTGAGATTGTCTTAAGACAATCTCCTAATTCTATTCTTTAGGGAGGGACCAAGTCAAAGGAGTGCTGGCAAATGTTTACAACTGGCTCTCCAAAAAGAAAAAAAAAGTAAGCAGGACACACTTTTAAGTTTAATGTGCATTATTGACATTTTCTCCATCTCTAAACAATCAACAAAGCAACAAATCAAGCCCTGATTTGTAGATTGCTAATTTCCAAGGTGTAAATGATCACACAGAAAATTTTACAATTGGCTCTCCTGAACTACTTGGAGCTGGCTCCAGCACACCTCTGTCTCTAGCCTACTATAGCTGGTTGGCATGCAAATCACAATCTCCCCGAAACAAAAGTTATGTAAATTAGGCAAATGACAGTTTATAGCATTTATCATCATCAGGACATGGTTCTTAAAGACATAGCACACAGTCTTATCTACCTCTATTTGCTCAATTCCCATAGATTTCTAATCTCCTCAGAGCAATGGCGGCCATCTCAGAGTGTTCAGTCAGCTCCACCAGAGGCATGGAGGCCAACAGGATTCATTTTCCTCCACATCTCCCTTTACTTTCTTCAATGAGGTCATTCCAGTAGAATACCGACAAATATTACCGATTGTTGTAGACTGGCCCTGATTCAGTCTGGTTTGAGGCTTCAGGTTCACATTGGAATTAAGTGAAATGCTAGTAAACCATCAAGGGTTAACAAATTCAGTTTACAAAGCCAAAGTAGTGAAAGCATATTGAGCAAATTGACTGCATTGATTCGTTTGGTCCTGTTGGCCACGTTGGGCCTTACCTGTCTCTGTGTTAGCCGTGCGGGTCAGTTGGTCAAAAGCCTGAGAGAGGAAACTGCTGATTCCTTCTCTCTGTTTTTTGGTTTTTGTTTATTATATTTTAGCTGCAAGAAACCTATGGCAGTGGCTTAGCCAGGAGAGACTTTGAGCTGAGGAAAAACTAGTCTAGCCTTTCTGGCAGATATTACTCTTACTACAATAATTAATACCAATTTGCTGTCAGCAATATGGTTTCAGTGTTTAGATTTTACATGTTAAGGTAATAGCCCCCTTTTGAATATGTTTTATTGTGGGAGCTGGTCAAAACTCACAAAATTTTTAAGAATTTTAAAACTATCAAAAGATAAGAATATGGAATTACTTAATTAAGTTAGAGTATATGGAATCTTCTCTTTTGATGTCCTTGTCCATTAGTTGAGAAGAGGACCATCTTCTAAATCTTGCCACTTCTACCATTAATTTAATGGTGTATTCCTACCAGATTTTTTGGACTACTTAGCAAGAGTAAGCCATTGTAAGGTACCTAGAAAATAGTATTTTATACTTTTCCTCAAGACTTTTTCCCAACTAATTTACAGAAATGTGATATAATATCCATTGCAACCAATTCTGCATTATGACCTACATCATTATCCATGACATCCTCCTTGCTTATTAAAGAAGAGCAAAGAGGCCAGTCATTAAATAGCTAGCTCCCAAAGAAAGGAATGCTATCTTTGGCCACCACTCTCCCTGGAATTCAATAACTCCTTTAAAAAGAATACTTATAGTGGATCTGTGTTTTATTATTTTGGGACATTTTATGAAGGACTGAATATAAGCAAGATATTCAGGCTAACCCACAAAAAGCTACTGATATGGCAGTCTTGTACTGATTGATAACAGATGAACATCTAAAGCGCTTGGGGATCACTTTACCCTGTTCCAGATTATTTAGGGTGACAAATTTACTTTAGAGTTTATGTCTTCCCCCCCCCCCCACACTGAATTATTACTATTAGTGTGATTTTTGTAGAAGGAATGCTGAATTTGGAGGAAGGAGAAACCTGAGTTTGGCTCCAGTTACTGGTTATGTGACTAGGCAAGTCACTTGTCAGTTTCCTCATCTGTAAAATGGAGATAATGCTTCTATCGCCTACCCTACAAGTTTGTTGTGAAGAAAGCACTTTGTAAATCTTAAAGCATTAGGGGAACATTAATGGTGGAAAACAATTGAAAACAGTGGAAAATATACAAATTAAGTGCAGAAGTTGAATTTTGCACCTTTCTCTGACGGTTAATGAAACTAGTATAGTGCAGAGGGCTAACCCATGTTTATGCTCAACTTTTGACTTTCTGTGAGAAGGTTTGATACTTCATGTATGAAGACTTAAGGTCGCCTCCCTTTTAGGCACCTGAAGGTTCCCAGGCAGCTAACAAATAGAAAGACTGGTCCCAGAGTTTGACTCTTTTCCAAAGCCAAAAAGAAATTACTTTTAGATTATACATAACTATCTGCTCCTTTTCTAATCTCCCACTCCTCAATCAGAGCAGATTGCTGTTAATCTTATTATAATAATGTCCTCACTGAAGTCTATTACACAATAAAAAGCTGTTAAAACTGGATTGTCAAAAAAGAAATAATAATGTATTTGTAAATTAAAAACAGTTAATGGAGTTCTCTTTTGTCAAATTTTCTTTTTCTGTTTAGAAGGTGGTGGGGAGGAAATAAACTCTGGATGAAACATAAATACTTAGGAATCTTAAAGATTATGCTGGGCTATGGTAATAAGCAAATGGGACAAGTTCTGAAAAGGTCTTTTCATGTACCAAAGCATTACAGCACCAATAATTAATTTTCATCTGAGGCCTCAACATCTTGCCTCTTTCTGAGTTGACATTTCATTCATAAAGTCCCTTACTCTTAATGTAACTATAGCCTTTGGTTGGGAACTTTAGTGGCAAATGCATGATAGTAACCAAGGGTTTCCTTGCTGGATTCCATCAAATTGCTCAGTGGGCTATACACTTATAGTTCTGTTACACTCAAATAAGACAGGATAGTCTTCTATATCTCATATTGGAGAATTGGAATATAGATCATAGTCACATGTTTTTCTTATTGGGGAATGTTAAGTTAAAAATCTCAGTTAATCAACTCAGGTTGTAAAAAAGAGTTTTGCTAATTTCAAAATTATTTCCTACTACAAATTGGACAGATAAATCATAGAATATGGTCACATTTCTGTTATTACAGAATGTTAGAGCTGGGAAGGACGTTAGAAACCTCTAGACCAATGTCCCCTATTTTTCCGGGTTAGGAAATTGAAACTCAGAGGGATTTGTGTCCAAGGTCACAAAATATAACAGATAACAGAGTGCTGCCTGGAACCCTGGTTTCCTGACTCCTAGGTCATCGCTATTTCTATTACACCAAATATCCTCTCACTAAAACTCTGTGCTTTTGACAGCATAAATGCCTTTATATATACCTCTTTGCCCTTCACAACCATCATTACACTTTTTACTTTAGATAAAATGCCATATCTCAAGGTGATAATAATGAGAGTGGCTGTTGTATTTACCAAGCATTTAAGAAGAAAAATCCAGAAGAGAGTGATTAGCACCTATCATAGTGGTAGACACATAGTATATGCTCAGCATATCCTGACTGACAGTACCTTCAAAACACACACTAAACTCTGGAAATAATAAATAAAGCCAAAAGTTTATTTAAATGTTCCTAAATAATGTGGCCTTGATGGCAATCATCAACATACCATCAGCCTGCCATATTTTTTTTTTATAAAAATATAACATCTCAAGACGTTAGAGTTTTAGGCTAAGGTGTACTATCCCTTTGTACAACAAGAGCACACAAGATCAGATCCTTTCAGTGACTACGTTTATGCTCTGACAGAGGCAGTGTGATTACATTGAATGTGTAGTATTCAAGGTGACCAAGCTTCCTTGTGGCATAGGTTAAGCCCAGGTTTCTAAGACTGTCACCCAATATTCTGTGCCTATTACCCCCATTCATTGTTTTCTATGCTGGCTTAGTCCATAGTGCGAATGATGACAAGAAAATCTTGCAAAAGAGATGAACCTCAACAAGAGAGGAACTGGGAATAAGACTGACAAAAAGAATGCTGAACTAAGTTTGTTGTGAGTCTGTTTTTATCTAGCTGTTACGACTGAATAATTTGGGGTAATTTTTAGAAAATTATACAGGTTTTACAATAGTAACATGGGGAAAATACATACTGTAATGTTTTTTTGCTGGAAAATACCAAATATACAACTTGAAGTAATACACAATTATTTCATGGCAAAACTAAGTTTAACTCTATTAGGAAACAGGACTTAAAAAAACAACACTGCTAAAGTGTTTGTTTTAAAAATTACATCCTTTAAGAAGTTTGAAGAGAGAAAGCATGGCATAGAGGTAGAGGACTGGTCTTGGAGCTGAGAAGACCTGCGTTCATGTCCTCTCTCTGACATATACTGGCTTTATGAACATGGGCAATTCACTTATCTCTTGGTGTCCCAGAAAAATCTCTAAGACGATAAGATACAGTCAAGCAGTCAGTCAGCAAACATTTATAAAGTGCTTCCCATGTGCCGGGGTACAAAGAAAGACAAAAACATGTCTCTGCCCTCAAGGAGAATGCATTCTAATGGAGTTGGGGAACACATTATATAAATAATCACACGCATATATTTATATAGGTAGATGGACAGATAGATAGATAGATAGATAGATAGATAGATAGATAGATAGATAGA